GCGGCCGGGCCGGAAAGGCGACGGGCATGGACCTGGATCCAGATAGGGAGCGCCCGGGCCAAGAGGGTCGATCTCCCCGTACCCTCCGGCCCGCCTCCTCTCGTGAGTACAGCCCCCGCCCTCCTCCGAAGGAGACCGCTGGCCGGGGCCTGCGCGAGAGGCCGGGGGTTGGGGTCGCGGCCGGGGGAAGCCGAGTTTCGGAGCCGCGGCCGGCGCTCGCCTGGCATGGCCACAGGTGCGGCTGGCGGGGCGAGGGGCGCTCGGGCTCCGACCCGGTCCCTGGCCCCGGGTAAAGAGGGGCAGCTGGCGCCGTCCATTGGCAAGTGACAGGCACTTGACGACAGCCCGACTTCCCGTCTCTCCGGCCCCAACCACTGCCCTGCCTGCCCCCAGTCCGGGAAACTTCCCCGCGGCGCCGCGACCGGTCTCCATGGGTGGCAGCCGCTGATCTTGGTTCCTTTTTGTAGTAAAGCAGCTGAAAGGCTGTCCCCAGACCTGGGCACCTTCCCCTGCTGTTCTCCTCACCTTTTTGATGTTTATTTACTAGAAAAGATAACCCAGTACCAGGGGTGCCATTTCCGACGGGGCTCTGGTTTAGAGCACAGTTGTTGGGTGAAGGTTTGTGTCTTAATGGTAGTCATTTTAAGAGGGAAAAGTTTCGTTTCTGAAACAGTCAAGACTTCTGCAAATGTACTGTTCTCAGAGACAGTTTTGTGCTCCTTTATCTTCCAGGTGCAAAGAATCGTAGACCCGGGAGGAGCCATGGATAGGAGAAGTGCGGGTGACATAGAAAATGGAGATGCTTTCCTTGACTTGAAGAAGCAACTGGCCTCCAAAGCCCCCCATCGCTATACAAAAGTAGGCTTTGTTACTAATGAAATAGTGTTTCTTCGTAAAGGTGGGGGAGGTTGGTAACATTGTGTAGGTATTTCATTGGTATTATCTCAAATGGTAGTGACATTCCATTCATTCTGTGGACTAAATGTTAACTAGAGTTCGTAACGCATCGCTTTGAACTTTTTTTTCTGAAAGAGTGAATACCCAGTTTAAAGTAGAATTTGCTTCTCGGTAGCTTTCAGGTGAGAGGAATATTGGCTCGGATCCCATATGAATTTGTGGACCAGTGTACGTTGGCACACACATTCTGTAAGAGCTGGTATGTTGTTGACTTACATGCTATAGAGTAAGAACTGCATCTCTGAGATGCCTCACAAAAGCAGTGTCCTGTGTTTTGATGTTTTCCAAGAGGCGAACACCCCAAAGG